TTTGCATTTATAACTACTGCACAATTAAATCAACTAAGTAGTGAAAAGCCTGATGACATACATGAGAAACTTTCAACTGATATATCATAATTATTACCAATAATATTACCATTTTTAAAATCATTTAAAAAATAGCTTTGAAAAAGTTAAGACTGTCATCAGACTTGCCAAGATAATATAGTTAGGTACAACTAAAATGGTAATGTGTGTTCTTCATGTATAAATATATGTGTGTGTGTGTGTGTGTGTGTGTGTGTGTGTGACGGAGCCTTGCTCTGTCGCCCGGGTTAGAGTGCAGTGGCGTGATCTCAGCTCACTGCAACCTGTGCCTCCTGGATTTAAGTGATTCTCCTGCCTCAGCCTCCCCAGTAGCTAGGATTACAGGTGTGCGGCACCATGCTTGGTTAATTTTTGTATTTTTAGTAGAGATGGGTTTCACCATGTTGGCCAGGCTGGTCTTGAACTCCTGACATTGTGATCCACCCGCCTTGGCCTCCCAAAGTGCTGGGATTACAGGCATGAGCCACTGTGCCTGGCCCTTCATGAATATTTTTAAAAGGCCATGCTTATTCTAAATAAAAGTTAATTAAAACTATTGATACTTTTATCAGTTAAGGAATAATAACAAATCATTTTATTGTGATATTTATATGATGGGCTCTGTTTTTTTTTTTTTTTTTTTTTTTTTTTTGAGATGGAGTCTTGCTCTGTTGCCCAGGCTGGAGTGCAGTGGCATAATCTTGGCTCACTGCAAGCTCTGCCTCCCAGGTTCACGCCATTCTCCTGGCTCAGTCTCCCGAGTAGCTGGGACTACAGGCGCCCACCACCACATCAGCTAATTTTTTGTATTTTTAGTAGAGATGGGGTTTCACTGTGTTAGCCAGGATGGTCTCGATCTCCTGACCTCGTGATCTGCCCGCCTTGGCCTCCCAAAGTGCTGGGATTACACGCGTGAGCCACCACGCCCGGCCATGATGAACTCTGTTTTTTAGTGCTTTATGTATGTTGATTCATTTTATCCTCACAGCAACCCTATGAGTGAAATACTATTATAAACTTCATCCTAAAAATAGGGTAGATAATTTACCCAAGGTCACACTAAATTGCAGAAACAAGATTTAAACATAGGCAGACTAGCTTTTGACCACTATGCTCTACTACCTGTCCTTTGGTTTTTCTTTTTCTTTTTCTTTTTCTTTTTCTTTTTTTTTTTTGAGATGGAGTCTCGCTCTGTCGCCCAGGCTGGAGTGCAGTGGCGCGATCTCAGCTCACTGCAATCTCTGCCTCCTGGGTTCAAGTGATTCTCCTGTCTCAGCCTCCTGAGTAGCTGGGATTACAGGTGCACGCCACCATGACTGGCACATTTTTGTATTTTTAGTGGAGACAGGATTTCACCATGTTGGTCAGGATGGTCATGAACTCCTGACCTTGTGATCCACACACCTTATCCTCCCAAAGTGCTGGGATTACAGGTGTGAGCCACTGTGTCCGGCCTGTACTTTGGTTTTAAGCAATAAGAAATGCCTCTGGTTAACTTAGGGGAGGCATTCACAATCAGCCAGAGAATAAAGAATTGTTTGAGAATGAACAGGGACTCAGAGTAATTCCAGAGTTTATGAGGCAGGATGTAGGAACCCACAACAGAGGTCTCATATCAGTTTGGATAGGATCACTACTGAACTTCTTTAGTTTTATATAGTCTTTTTGCTCAACATTCAAATTCCAAGAAGGTAGCTATCAATTGGTTTAATTTGAGAACATGCCCTTCTCTTAATTAGGGAATAATAGGACCCCTGAATTTTAGTTCTGTTGTAATGTGTAGTCCACGTTGTAATGAAGAAAAGTATTTCAATACAGTAAATTGTGGTGCTGTTAGATAAGGGAAATGGATGCTGGTTAGGCAAAATCAAATTTTTACTATTAGAACCCCCTCTATAAGACAACAATGGTTCATTCAGAAAACAATTATTGAGTGTCAATGGATGGGCCTATACTGTTCTTTGTTTAGAACTGCTCATCATAGAAGGTGAAGCAGATGGGGAAAAAAATGAATGAAAGATGTGAAACTAATTAATGATTCTGCTAATGTCAAGTGAAGATAAAAAAACTTTTAATAAGTGTTATTGATTTTTATTAACATAATATTTAGTTTTTAAGAGTTAAAAGTCATATTCCTAAGTATGGTAAGAGTAGTTCCTTTAGCTGAAAGCAGTGGAGGCCCATATAATATTATATAAGTAGGGTCTAATTTTTACCAATTATGTCTCCAGTTTAAGTAGACTATCAACTATCCTATGTTGCCTCCCTGTCACTGAGAGATATTATCCTTGTCATTTCTTTTTCTTTTTTAGAGATGAGGTCTTGCTTTGTCACCTGGGCTGGAGTTCAGTGGCCGAACATAGCTCACTGCAGCCTTAAACTCCTGGCCTCAAGCAATCCTCCCACCTCAACCTCCCAAGTAGCTAGGACTACAGGCATGTGCCACCACGCCCAGCTAACTTTTATTTTTGTAGAGATGGGATCTTGCTATGTTGCCTAGGCTGGTCTCAAACTCCTGACCTCAAGCATTCTTCCTGCCTCATCATTTCATTTCTTAATGCAGTGAGAAGGTACTATATTAATTAAAATCTTGTCAGAAAAATTACTTGAATTTTAGTAATGCACATTGAAATTATTCCAGCAAATTGAAAGGACAAAGAATCAAAACAGTGATCTGGATAGATCCTGATTATTCAAATGATTTAGAGAAAGAAAAAATATCTCCTAAAATACTAAAAATATTGCTTTAATTTTCTCCTCACTTTTCTTAGTGTTAGGCTGATTAGCGTTTTTTATAAAAAGATTTTGAAAAAGAAATTGCAAACAAGGGAAACATAACATGAAGTGACTATTTTGCTATAGGAAAAATATGTTTGCTTTAGTTTTACACAGATTTAGAAATGTCTGCTAACAAATATTTCCTCCTTGCAGTTTACTCAGAGAGTACTTTTAAATGACATTTATTTATGTTATATTACTAACAGCAGTTGTTTACCACAATATATTTTTATATATTTGTTGTGTGGGGGTGTGTGTGTGTGTTATATGTATAACATTTAAAATTACTCCTCAAAATAGGAACAAAAGGTCCAGTTACATCTTCTGGCTAAAGAAGACTATCATAAGCAACTGAGTGAAATTGAGAAATACTATGCCACAATAACAGGTCAATTTGGATTGGTAAAAGAGAATCATGAAAAGTTAGAACAAAATGGTATGTGCTATCTTATTTAAATATACATATTCAGTAGAGAATGTTTGAATGGACTTATTTACTAGGAATACTTTGAATTTCTATGATAATACTGATAATAGTAAGTGGCAGTTAATGACTGTTACCTAAATTTAATAACGTATGTATTGCATTGTTACTGTTTTCCCTGTTTATCTTAATGATACTTTCTTTGAAATACACATTGAATATAATGCTTTCTTAAGTGTCTTTAATGTTGCAGTACGGGAAGCAATACAATCAAACAAAAGACTTTCAGCTTTAAATAAAAAACAAGAAGATGAAATATGCAGTTTAAAGAAGGTATGAGTGATATAGTTTCATACTAAGTAAAAATTGTAATGTAAAATAGTCTTATGGGCTATTACTAGAGGACAGTTGGGTAGAATTTTTTGGTAGGATAAATAAAATGTTTTCAATACAGATGCATAAATTTTGAATTATGATTCCAGTAAAGGTAATTAGTGCATTTGTTGTAATCCATTCAAAATATTATTTCTTTGACTTGTGACCAGTAGCATGCATTTTTATGGTGACATGAATACCTTATAAGGATTCATTGTATGTCATCCCTATTAGCACCATTCATTCAATATTTATTGAGTGACTTTTATATACTGGTTGCTATATGGCACTAAGGATACATATATGAAGAAAATAAAACATGTTTCTACTTTTATGAGAGTTAGAGTCTGGTGGTGGAGTCAGACATAAAACAAATAATTACACAGACTAAATAATATAAAACTATTATAAATGAGCGGAAGAAAAAGTAAAAGGTGTGATGACATCACAGGTGACTTTTTTAGATTGGGGGTAAGAGGGTGGAGGAGGGAAGGGAGTAATGTTTTGGGCAAGGGGAATAGCATGTGCAAAAGCCTTGAGACAGGAAAGAGTTTAGTATATTTGAGGAACTAAAAAACATCTGATATGGCTGGAGCATCATGAATGAAGCTCTGAATTGAGCATTTGTTTGTTGCTTACTGAGCTTCAGTATCCCTTTGCCTTCTTCCTAACCTTATCCAGATTTTTGTTTTGATGTCTCTTGCTTTAGAGCTGAGCCCCAAATTGGCAGGAGAGCACAAATATATTTCTTTCCTCTGACCATAGGCATTGGTTCAGGAATGGATAAATGACTTTAGCTAGCTTCTGGTTATAAACTAGGAAGAACGTAACCTCTGCCGTGGCTGGCAGTCAGCCTACAACCATGAGAAAAGCCAACAAATAAGAACCTGACAATGTGGATGCCAGATTGGTATGACATAAAGAAACCTGTTCTTTGATGACATTATTAACTGAATCAACCAACCCTGCATCTTGCCCTACCTCTAGACATTTGAATTATGTGAACCGATAAGTCCCCATTATTACTTAAACCAGGTTGGTTAGGGCCAATTCCGTTTTCCATGATTTGCAACTAAAAATATTCCAACTGACACAAAGGAAGAGTTGGTACGATAGGAATAGGTAAGGCTTTGTTCTTTCTATAGAGAATGACGTCTGTTTCCTTTTCCCACTCCCTTCCAATCCCTCTCTCAATACCACTTTGAATCATTTTAGGACCACCTCCCTACCTCTGAGAGAATTAAGTACCTATGCTTACTGGCACTCCATAAATATTTTGAAACAATATTTACTGAGTATCATTTAAAATGCACTTAATTTGTAGTTATTTATTATATTGGTATGCAAAAAAATCTTCTGTTTGCCCCTCCAGATCTGTACTTACCTTTTGAAGGCTTATGTATATGGGTTGCATCAATGGGCTTCCATATCTTCTGACTTCCTGTTGAGCTGGGCCAGTGGAGAGCCTAGGCAGGAGATGGGAGGAAGGAGAGAGTGAATCAGGGTATTTATTCCCCTGTTTCTTCTCTCTGAGATAACTTCAGGCTGTTCATGTCCCTCAATAGATCACTACTTCTCTCAAATTGGCCTAATCTACATGATCCTGTCTCTTTTTGGGGTTCCAGTAACCTCTCTTCTTGACCTTCTGGGTCTAGATGTAGTGACAGCTACAGTGCTGCTAGTCAGTGGAACTTGTGCCATCCCTTGTGGTTCCTTTATATCCTCCTCCACCTTTGCAAATAAACCCATCTTCAGATTATCCTAGTTTATGTGTGCCATCTGTTTCTGTTGGGATTCTGACATACTTAGGGTAAAACATTAGTAAGGCCAAAGTTAGGAATTCAGTTTTGTATTGGCTAATTGATTCAGTACAGAGAAAGTTGTTTCACAGTCAAAGATTGCACTCTAAACCTAATCTATATTTTTAGTTGTATATTTTGGACTCAAGAGATAAATGAATACAAATGGCATCATTCAAATATACCATTAATTCTGAGGAAAATAATAACTTCTACTAATTTGGGTCAATGTTGTTGTCTTGACTCTAAAGGATCCTATTTTTAAAAGGAAAAAAATACCAGAAATCCGAGCGTTTTACTTTTATATATACATAGACTTTCACTATTTTAATATAATTTAATATATTTTAATTAATAAACAATTTTTAGAGAGTTTTAGGTTCACAGCAAAACTGAGTGGGAAGTACAGAGTTCCCGTATACTCCCTGTCCTTACACATGTGCAACCTGTCTTACTATCACATCCTCACCAGCATTTGGTGTTGTCAGTGTTTTGGATGTTGGTCATTCTGACTGGTGTGTAGTGGTATCTTGTTTTGATTTGCAATTCCCTAATGACGTATGATATTGAACATATTTTCATATACCTACTTGTCATCTGTGTGTATTTTTTGTTAAAGTGTCTGTTCAGGCCTTGGGCCCATTTTTTAATTGGGTTTTTTGTTTTCTTATTGTTGAGTTTTAAGAGTTCTTTGTATATTTTGGGTAGCAGTACCTTCTAAATGCTAAGTCAGAGTTCGAAGACCATTAATATTAGAATACTGTTGACTGTGATATGTATATCTTCACTGTTATAACTGCCAATACATTGGTTATATATTCCTTGGACTTTATTCTTATGCCTGAGGGATCAGAAAGTAAAAGCATAGGTGTATTTCAGTACAGAACATTAGAATGGGTGGTGATAATCATGTTTCTGGCCCTTAAAAGTCTGTCTATTTAGCAAACTACTTAAGAGTACAATTAATATATATGTAGAAAACATTTCTTTTTAGATACATCCTGGAAAATTAGAGGTGGCTCTTTTTAATATAAAGAGAAAAAGCTATAATTTTAAAAATCTGTTTGGAATCCCAAGTAAGAATTATTAAAAAGACCATACATTTCTATCGATATAGATTTCAAATACAAATATAAATAACTATTAAATCAGTAGTTGTGAATAAACACATTTTTGTTGATGTCTCTTTGGTTCATTTATGTTTTAATATTTTTAACAATGACTTTAGTAATTAAATGACATTCATAATTAATTTGGAATTAATTAATATGAATATTAATTCATATCAATTGATTTCATATGAATATGAAATAACATTCATATTAATAAAATAAAATTCATATTAAGCCTTTATACAATTAGTTTATGCATTCTTATGAAAATATGCCTCATAAATTTTGTACTAATTTTTTTGCATTAAATGAAAACAGATGTTTCATTGTAACGTAATAGACTATTATATTTCTTTTTTCGTTATATACTTTATGTTCTAGGGTACATGTGCACAACGTGCAGGTTTGTTACATATGCATACATGTGCCATGTTGGTGTGCTGCACCCATTAACTCGTCATTTACACCAGGTTTATCTCCTAATGCGATCCCTCCCCCCTCCCTCCACCCCACCACAGGCCCCAGTGTGTGATATTCCCCACCCTGTATCCAAGTATTCTCATTGTTCAATTCCTACCTGTCAGTGAGAACATGCAGTGTTTGGTTTTCTGTCCTTGCAATAGTTTGCTAAGAATGATGGTTTCCAGCTTCATTCATGTCCCTATAAAGGACATGAACTCATCCTTTTTTATGGCTGCATAGTATTCCATGGTGTATATGTGCCACATTTTCTTAATCCAGTCTATCATTGATGGACATTTCAGTTGGTTCCAAGTCTTTGCTATTGTGAATAGTGCTACAATAAATATACATGTGCATGTGTCTTTATAGCAGCATGATTTATAATCCTTTGGGTATATGCCCAGTAATGGGATGACTGGGTCAAATGATATTTCTAATTCAGGACATAGGCATGGGCAAGGAATTCATGACTAAAACACCAAGCAATGGCAACAAAAGCCAAAATTGACAAATGGGATCTAATTAAACTAAAGAGCTTCTGCACAGCAAAAGAAACTACCATCAGAGTGAACAGACAACCTACTGAATGGGAGAAAAGTTTTACAGTCTACCCATCTGACAAAGGGCTAATATCCAGAATCTACAAAGAACTTAAACAAATTTACAAGAAAAAAAATCAAACCCATCAAAAAGTGGGCGAAGGATATGAACAGACACTCACTTCTCTTTTTTATTTTCTTTTTTTTTTTTAAGACAGAGTCTTGCTCTGTTGCCCAGGCTGGAATGCAATAGCACAATCTCGGCTCACCGCGACCTCTGGCTCCTGGGTTCAAGCCATTCTCTTGCCTCAGCCTCCCAAGTAGCTGGGACTACAGGCATGTACCACCATGCTTAGCTAATTTTTGTATTTTCAGTAGAGACGGGGTTTCACCATGTTGGCCAGGCTGGTCTCGAACACCTGACCTCAAGTGATCCGCCTGCCCAAATATCCGCCTGCCCAAAGATTACACATGTCAGCCACTATGCCCGGCCTGCCTATTATATTTCCAATGCACAATTTAAGACTCTGACCTATAGATGGAGATGAGGCTCATGTAGATTCATGGAGAGATACCCTTAGTGGATTTATGTAAGAAGATGCGGAATGTCTTTCTATGTGTGAGAAGAATGGTGTTGCTCATGAGGACGCTTGCCTCTTTCAGGTCTTGGGGCCTAGGCTAGGGCTACTTAAATGTACTAACATGTCATGTAGTAGTGGTCTCTGTCACTCTAGAAACCATTAGTGTCAGTGTTCATGCTGCAAAGTTGTTCTTGGAAGACAGACTGTTACAGAAGGGTAAAGTGAGAAAATTTAATTACCTTTGCGACTTCAAAGTTCAAGTAACTGAAAGGGTGAGAATTTTAAAATACATATTCAGAGCCAATTTTTAATATTGTAGACATTGTAAGTACACTAATTTTATATTTTATATATCTTATGTAGCTTTGATTTTTAACTTTGGGAAAAGCTTTTTTTTTTTTTTAACTGTCTTTTTCAGAAGAGAATCAAATTTTGTAACATTGGTTGTATCACTTATTTAAAACTTCTAATCATTAATTCTCCCAAAGGTAATTTCCATTTCTCTTGTACTGTTCTATGATTTTGTCCAGAACAGTTGTTATTGTGATAAGATGGAATTCCTTTTTTTTTTTTTTTTTTTTTTGTGGAGCAGAGTTAAACAGACCAAACTTAGTGGTTAGATAAAAACTAGGTATTACCATTCTGAATGCTGAGTTCACCATTATGGCAATCATGAAGAATTCCTGATACTATCTGTGAGCAGCATTCATAACCTCTGCTATTTGTCTGAGTAAATGTCAGAGCACTCAAGGAGATAGTGATATTAAACAGACTACCCCTTACCAGAAAGGGAGGGGTGAAGGAGAAAAGAGCGCAATATTTATGACTCCAGGAACTATAAGTTGTAATTTAATGAGATCAAAGCATTGCTGTTTATTTGCTGCACTAATAGCTTTGAATAAAATGGTTAGAAAACAGACAGTGTACTAAAAGTTCAAGATATTTAAAGGCTTATAAAGTCTATAAAATCAAAAGCATATTTTTCAGTGGAAGATCTTTTAGTGAGGTCTCTGATTTTAATTTATTATGCTCTTGAGATTAAGTAATTAATATATAAAAGAAAAAGAAAGATATAAAAAATTATTAGTTTTTACTTTTGTCAGTCATATACTGATTTTCTATACCCTTCTCCTCCCAACCTTCCTATTGTCTCATAGCAATAATTATAACAGGAATTGATGAATTTTAGAGTATCTCCTGTAAGACTTAGCTGATTATAACAGCTCCATGTTTTCAATTGTTGAAAAATGTAGAAAAACATAGACATTTGTCCCATTTTGTAATCTTGAAGAGGAAAAAACTTTTAGAAAACCAATCTTTATGCAGAAGATTATAAGCCATTTTATCCAAATTCAAGTTTTACCCATATACCTTTTATCAACAGGACATTGCGTTTTAGGAGTGAACCTGGAACAGATCACTAGTATAAAACAAGCTATTCTATATATATATCGCTCTCTCTCTCTCTCTCTATATATATATATATATATATATATTTTTTTTTTTTTCTTTGAGACAGAGCCTTGCTCTGTTGCCCAGGCTGGAGTGCAGTGGTGCAATCTCGGCTCACTGCAAGCTCTGCCTCCCAGGTTCACGCCATTCTCCTGTCTCAGCCTCCTGAGTGGCTGGGACTACAGGTGCCCGCCACCACACCCGGCTAATTTTTTGTATTTTTAGTAGAGATGAGATTTCACCGTGTTAACCAGGATGGTCTTGATCTCCTGACGTCGTGATCCGCCTGCCTTGGCCTCCCAAAGTGCTGGGATTACAGGCATGAGCCACTGGCCTGGCCGCTATCTAATAATTTACTTTCTAAGTCATGTGGATATCTAGTTCATCCAGGTGTATATTGCTTTAGGAAAAAATAGAGAAAAATCAAAATTTCAGGGAATTATTGCTTGTTTTCCTTTGAAACTTATCTTAGTGCATAAGAAAGCACCTTTAAAGCAAGCTGTTAGAAACTCTATTGTGTAAAGAAAGGTATACATTATTTTAAAGCCAATATGATTAATATCTTTTTTTAAAAGTAGACTCAATTGACAATCCTGCTGCTGGGCATATACCCAAAGGAAAATAAATCAGTATATTGAAGAGGTATCTGCACTCCCATATTTGTTGCAGCACTGTTCACAATAGCCAAGATTCAAAAGCAACCTAAGTGTCCATCAACAGATGAATGGATAAAGAAAATGTGGTACCCATACACAATGGAGTACTATTCAGCCATGAAGAAGAAAAAGATCCTGTCATTTGCAAAAACATGGATAGAACTAGAGGTCATTATGTTAAGTGAAATAAACCAGGCACAGAAAGATAAATATCACAGTTCTAATTTATTTGTGGCATCTAAAAATCAAAATAATTGAACTCATGGAGATAGAGAGTAGAAGGATGGTTACCAGAGGCTGGGAAATGTAGTGAGGGCCAGGGTGGGGGAAGGTGGGAGTGGTTAATGAGTACAAAGAAATTAGAAAGAATG